ACTTGAACAAAGCGATCTTAGCGCTACAACTATTGTAAGCCTATGTTAAAGTATGGGAGTTACGATCATCTTAGCGCTAAGATCGCTTTGTGCAATAGGGCCCTGGAACCATGACACAGCAGGGCCTGAAGTTTGCATTTGAGCGGTGTTCTCATCCACACCGTGTCCTTTTCTCAACGGCCATGTGTTGATTCGCCCTGTGTTCCCTGAAACTGATAAATGTGATCTCATGGTCTACTTGTAGTGATCGTTTGCCTCCGTGGTGTAGTGGATAGAGCGTCCCTGAGAGTGGAAGGTTGGTGGTTCGATCCTCGGGTGCCTTATTTACCAAAATACGTCAAAAGACGGTACTTATTGTTACCCTGCCTGGTGTTCGACTTTAAGGGGATACAACTAGACTCGACTTTCACTTGGCACACACACGCTCGCAATATTCTCTGGACAATATTCTCTCTGGTATTGACAATATGCTCAACGGTCTGAACAATATCCCCACTGACCTCGACAATATCCTCACTGGTCTGGACAATATCCTCACTGGTCTGGACAATATCCTCACTGGTCTTGGCAATGATATATGTGGTCATGTCAGTGTCCTTAGTCTTGACAATGTCCCCTGGACTTACCAATAATATACATTATTCATTCTGGTCTAGCCAGTATCCCATCTGGATATGCAAATATCCCTCCTAGTCTTGCAAGTAATATTATCCCTTCTGGGATGTCAATTTCCCTTCTGCCTTCGTGGCTTTGGGAGGAGGATATAGTCAGTCCGTTCCGCTTTCATCACCAGGATTCATTGACCTGTAAACACGAAACTGATATTGGCAAAAACACGTTATTTCACTTGAAAAAACCTCCTCCGTTCAGTCTGCTTCAGTGACACTTGAGTTTTCAGAGTACGTTCGCGGGGAGGGTAATAAATCATTAATGGATAAAACACCTGATCTTCTTGTTTAAAAATCTCATAGAGTGACGTGACAAAATTCATGTTTTCATGACACGAGTAAAAATGTCACATGGCATACATGTCGTTATTACCTATACTATTCATATTGTTCGTGTGACATATATCGCATCCTCGTCAGACCCAACAATGTTTTTGACAGATACAGTATTAATGATACAAGTAATAAAAATGTTTGACGTCAATCTTTCTATACGTGGACAGTCACGGCTTGGTGGCTTCATGGCCGGTCTTGACCGGATCGACATACAGTTTGTGGTGTGTTTCCCAGGTGTGTATGCATCACGTGATTTGTTTCGTCGGTTATGTTGAAGTGGGCGATCCTTTGCATTCTGTTGAACTAGAAAAATATTAAACACGTTGCATTTAAGTTTGAAATAGGTTATTGAAACCCGATTTAGATGTGACACGGATGTATCCGATTCGAAATGTATGTACCCTCTTAACAGTTTCTTCATATCGTCCAGGACCCTTGTTATATTTTTAGGTAGTAGATGTGCGTGTGCGCGCGTTTGTTTGTGTGTGTGTGTGCGTGCGTGCGTGCGTGTATGCGTGCGTGCGTGCGTGCGGGTGTGTGTGTTGTGCGTGGTTGGGTATATACTGTGTTATGCGACAGGCACTATAAACTATGCAGAACAGCAATCTGAAAGATTAAGCTCCTTCAAAACATAAAAAAAAATCAAATCACAATGATACAATAAACTGACATATGAAAATATAATTTTTTATCCAAATCGTATGTCGAATTTATACCATCAATAGGTAATGTTATGGCGAGATAAAACAATTTATTTATATCTAAGTGAAATAAAAGTATTTAATCGCTAGCCAGCATGCATCTTCTCGAGGCAAGCGTGTCCACTAGCCTATATCAAAGCCTACTTTGATAAAAATGGTAGTGGACGCTCTTGCCTCGGGAAGATGGCCTGCACGTTTCATGGACACATTCTGTGGCTTTCTAACATTGTTCGAGTGTCACAACGTGTATATGTGCACACTATGGTACAGACAGTGCTGGTGGTACAACTACTTTCAGTGCGGCTAGGACTAGAACTAGGACACTGAGTGTGTACAGCTTGACTGACTGTAGGAAAGCCGACTCCTGCAGCAGTGACCTATATCTGGGGATATTGCTGTGTCACCACTGTAGGCCCGCGGTGTTACAGGACGCTCTGTCCTTTGACGACCCCTGAATCAATTTCACACTGTGTTATTCTTAAAAAGGGAGAATGCTGAAAACAGCTTGAGACTCACTCACTCTCAAGGGGTGGAACCCGACACTTGAACAAATTCTATGAAGCGCACGTAAAATCAGGTCAGTGATAAACTCGCTGTCTGTATTGTGTTGACCTTGTTGTGATACACGTTCATAACGATCTCGCCAGGTCATATTAATGTTTATGTTCATACAGCTTGTCGGCTCACACGGCAACCAGACCGGGTACAACTATGTCTGTCTTTGACATATCCGCGCGCAAGCTTCCTCCTTGAATAGGGTTATTCGCAGGTACAACGTTTAATTTCAAAAATATGAAAAATAAATTAAATATAAGGAAGAGAATTTATGGAATTTATTTGTTATGAGGAACACAGCGTTTCAGAGTATATATACTTACTCCTTCATCAGGCTAAGTGTTGGCTTCCTTTTGTCCATTGCTTATCACCTATCTGTTATCCGTTGGCTTCCCTTGTTAAGTTTCATCTGCGTTATCTTATTACTTTTGTTGTTCTTACAGGTACATATATATGTTATCTGTCTCATAGCATTTATTCGCCTGATGAAGGAGTAAGTATATACTCCTAAACGTTGTGTTCCTCATATAAGTTGGCATCCATATATTCTCTTCCTTATCTTTATGACTTCTAAATGCCTTTCAAAGACCTAAATTAAATATGCTGTTGAAATAAACACGAGAATAACAGCCTGGTTCCCTGGGTGTGCTGCGCTGGCGCTACGCTGAGCGCGAGCGCAGCATACCCAAGGAACCAGGCTGGGGTTTTCTCAGATAATCGTCTGAGGAGAGACAATGTGACTACAAGGGATAGCGTCATTTGTGACTTGTTCAGCACTGCTGTTGTTTTACACAAGCAGCGGGAAACAAACCTTCCTTGTCCGACTTTGTATCGCGCTATGATTTGTTTGTTTGTTGTTTAAAGTAGTTCTCAACAATATTCCAGCTACATGACGGCAGTGTGTAAATAATCGAGTCTGGACTAGACAAACCCGTGATTGACGTCATGAGCACCGATCTACACAACTGGGATACGTCAAATATGTCAGCGAGCCTGACTACCCGATCACGTTAGTCGCCTATTACGGAAAGCATGGGTTGCTGAAGACCTATTTTCTACCCGGATCTTCACGGGTCTCGCATTATGAGCTGCATACGAACTGCATACACGTGAAACGTTTAATAGCTTGTGTTATCTGGTAACCATTGCCCACCTGTTCCCCCCCCCCCCCCCCCCCCCCCACACACACACACACACACACCACCAAATCCCCTCACCCTCCCTCATGTATACTTATTCAAAATTGTTGGATAAACTTAAAATGTGATCAGTGCATATAGTTCAAGATTTCTTGAAACAAAGAGAGGTTTTCAGACTTCAATATTTTTGTAATGTGTATATTTATATATCCCATCTGAGCCTCAAACTTCAACAGTCGCCATACACCACCACCATCAACAATCTCTATCCGGCAATAAGATTACACTTTCGTATCGTCATACTTAAATACAAATCAGTAATTTATTTGGCACTGTTTATCGCAGCCTCGTAATTGCGGTTTATCAGCAAATATTTATACAAAATGTTATAAACGATCCCATAATTCCCAGATGAAAGCAATTCCCGGAAGTAAAAAATTCAGATAACGACCGAGGTCAAAGGTCGCCGCAACAGCTTGAAAACGTGTTTTTAAAACCTATGCAACCCTGCGAGGCATTGTTGGGTACATTCAGTCGTGTTGTATTCCTGACTCAAATCAATAGCAGATGTAAACATGAATACAACAGCGTCGATGTTTCTTTAAATAACAAAATCCAAAGGATGTAAAATATATCCATTTGTTTCGCATGATTGGTTTGTGTTTCACGACAGTTGTTGAGAGCAGATGTTGAAACTCGTAGTACCTAACACACTGACCTACTGTATGGAGTATGCATGTGTGAGACTTAGATATGAACGCAGTAGGGTGCCGGGGGGGGGGGGGGGGGGGGGGGGGGCTGGAGCAGGGAGAATCCTCCGCATCAGCTGTTCCTCAGCGGTTGTGACCCACATGAGTGAGTGAGTGAGTATGGTTTTACGCCGCTCTTGGCAATATTCCAGCAATATCACGGCGGGGGACACCAGAAATGGGCTTCAAACATTGTACCCATGTCGGGAATCGAACTCGGCTCTTCGGCGTGACGAGCGAACGCTTTAACCACTAGGCTACCCGACCTCCCCCTGTGACCCATGAAGTGAATTCAACTTAGGCAATATACACAGAACCATGAAACAAATATTATATACTAGTTTGTTAGCATAGAGTATTAGTTACACGGTTCTTAAGGCAATGCGACAAATATATAGATCTATAGTTATTCTCTGACATAAATATCGTCACACATTCAGGACTAGTATTTTTGTTGTGCGATCACTATAATAAAAACTACTTTACACTAATGATTGAAACGTGATACAACTCAAGCGAACTGTTTTCCTATCGGAACAATTTGCAGCAAATACAATATCACACTAATCCGCTCATATACATATATGACATAATTGTACAGTCGATACAAACTTACATTCCTGCAGAAATAGTAGCTAAAATAAGTTTTGCAAAATACATCTACCAAAACATGCAGGGAACTAAAGTTTGAATTATATATAAGCTAAAACCCTTTGTCTTGTTCATCACAACTGAGCAACACTGGCTGGCAACGACAAATGAGCGTCAGTTAGAAACTGAATGGAAACATTGGCCCGCTGACAAGTCAGCCCCGATTACGTCTAACAGAGTTAGCTCCCTTGGTAATAAATATCTCGGGTTTAGAAGCGGTCGGAAACAGTCAACTTGCGGTTTTCTATTGGGATATGCTTGTGTGTCGAGTCTGAGAGGTGGAGGGTATCCATAGCGCTGAGCTGTCGACGGATATCTAAAACTTGCAGATCAACAACCATGCAGTAAGTGCTTGCAATATTTATTAGTGAGTAAATAATATAGTTGTATATACTTGAATCATAATGATTATTTGATGTTTGTTCCTTGGAAGGTATAGCCGAATGAAAACTTTTACAAAAAGTTGCTTCAAATTTTGATTTTGGAGTAGTTTAATTGTTAAAAAGGGTATTACAGCTTCGTGCCAAAGTCCTGATTAATGATAAACATGTACATGGAAATGTTTCTTTATCAAATTATCTTAATTTTCAAATCTTGTTGTTGAGATTGGCTTTATAGGTTTATGGATGCTGCCTGCATTAGTAATCAAGGAATAAATCTGAAAACTCGACAATGACATTAAAACACTGAAAGAATAGATGCATGTATACAAACTGTGTATGATATTATTGTATACACATCTGAAGTCTACGTTGTTTATGCTCAATGATATAACTGTCAAGTCTACACGCTATCTTAGATCAAACCAACCGCTGTTGAAAGAATCCTCCCCTTATACATAATTATGAGGCCTTTGAAAGGTATTTAGAAGCGATTCACATAAGGAAGAGAATATATGGATGTCAACTTCTTTATCATGAGGAACACCTCATAATAAATAAGTTGACATCCAAATATTCTCTTCCTTACATAATTATGCATATGCAAATGAAGCGGTTTCTATATCATTGCCCCATCATATACAGGACACTGCCGCACAAAGACCCCAAAGACTACACTCACGGGGTCTGCAGTACTTAGAATCTAAATAGGTCAACGAAAATTAATTTACGTAATATAGTACTATCATGTCAAGAGTCTGAACCGCATTGGAGAAGAAAAAATATTCTCATGACTTGCAAAACTATCATTTATGCACAGGCGTTCTACAGTTGAATTGTCAACGGGGGTCAGCGCGGTTTTAGAAAGTGTTTTACTTGGGGCATATCAGCATTCAAACTGAACCCAAATTTCAATTACATTAAGCCTCGTGCTGCTGACGTGGGCATCAGTTGCATGTGAAAACATATATGTAGTCACTGGAGCATGTAAGAGTTTCAAATATCTATGCATATACATGTTATTAGAGTCAGCTTATCGTCTTTGTGATTATTTAAAAAAATAAGTAAACAAAAAAGCAGCAATTTCACAGCATGTTCACAAGCGTGCACTGCAATAAACAGACGCAATGCAAGTACGCAATTCACGTACGTTGTTTACGAATATAGAAATGTATGATATATTTTGTCTGTAATTTTTGTCCATTAGACGGCGATGTATGGGCATTGTTGCTGCTCAGTGCGTCGTTAAACTCGTTAAGATCCAGTTTGTGTAATTGCTTTCTGTGGACGTCACAAATGCCGTTTCTTGTGCATGACGGAGTTTAGTGAATTTTACCATCAATGCATTTGTCAAATTCGGAAGCATGGTTTCTTGGGGACGTTGTGATATGGAGAATAGTACACTCAGTGGGGGGTTGTATACAAACAGTCTATTATAACGTCCTTGTTGAAAGTTCTTCTGAATCATAGAACGTTTCAATCCAATGAAAGCTATATCTGTACATCGCATTAACAAAATACAAACTATATTTTAGGGGACTTTAGATCCCAGATAAGGGGCGGTCGGGTAACCTAGTGGTTAAAGCGTTCGCTCGTCACGCCGAACACCCGGGTTCGATTCCCGACATGGGTACAATGTGTGAAGCCCATTTCTGGTGCCCCCCGCCGTGATATTGCTGGAATATTGCTAAAAGCGGCGTAAAACCAAACTCACTCATTAGATCCCAGATAATCTTTCCATATTCAAATGACTGTTAATAAAATTACAGATACAGTCATCTGTGGATAGTTTATCACGGGAAAGAAAGCCTGTGATGAGCTCAATACGTCATTAAGAGTGACGTCACCTGACGTCACAGTACTGACATTTAAATTGAAATAGTTTGCTACTTACCTGTGCAACGACGTGTAATGTGCGTGCGTGCGTGCGTGCGTGCGTGCGTGTGTATGTGTGTGCGGGTTGTTCAACACAGCGCTCAGCAATATTCCAGCTACATGTACATACCGGCGGCATGTGTATAATCTAGTCTGGATCAGACAATCCAGTGATCGGGATACGAAGTCGAAATCAACCAAGTCACCGAGCCTGACCACCAAACCATTTGGTCGCCTGTTACGACCAGCATAAGTTGCTGGGGACCCTCTCTAACCTTGAATCCAGGCCCACGTAGGTGTTTGATGTGTGTCCATGGCGTACATCGTGAGAAGAATGTGCTGTGTAGAGTTGTGTTCCTTTTTCACACCAGGAGCCGCTCCTCGTATTCGCCCCGATTAAAAAAAACCTTGTTCTTTAAACACCATATCCATGCCCATGGGTTTGATTTCAGAAGTAAACGTGTGTACGACCTTGGCCAGTTTGGTAACTTTGGACGTTCAACTCCTTCAATGCCCCTATCAACCTTATCTTTGTTACATAACTACAGTCAGGCTCGATGCATGTCATCGTATCCCAATGGCGTAGATCGATGCTCATGATGTCAATCACTGGATTGTCTGGTCCAGACTCGATTATTTACAGACCGCTGTCATATAGCAGGAATATTGCTGAGTGCGGCGTTAAACGACAAACAAACAAACATAAGTATGGTCATTTAGTCTGTTGCACAGAAGTATCAAGATGTTTGCTATACAATAGCATGCCCACATCTCGCTTCGCGCACGCACAACTTATCAAAATCGTATTATGCCTTCTCGGGCGGTGGGGTAGCCTAGTGATTAAAGCATTCGTTCGTCACGCCGAAGGCCCGGGTTTAATTCCCTACATGGACACACTGAGTCTTATTTCTGGTGTCCCCCGTCGTGATATCGCTGGAATATTGCTAAAAGCGGCATAAAACCATACTCACTCACCCTGTGCTTTCTCTGCTTGTAATGTAACGTGCCTATTAACCATGTAACAGGACACCGTCTTTAACTGTGCTACATCTTCTCGACGTGGTAACCGATGCAGTACCTGTATATCGGGGGAAATCTCACTTACATATCTGTTAAAAGCCGTTCCTAGTATCTACAACAAAATATCTTCTCGCAATTACAGACTCTCCATGTATCAGTGTTATTTCCTATCGTCGGTCAGCATGGCACGTGTAGGGTAATTGCTGCTGATTGCTAGTGTATAGACTGCGGATGTGCAAACTACATACACCGCAGTTTAACTTAGTACTTTAACGTGCCCAAGACTGGTTTCGTAGACTGAGTTTGTAATTTAACAGCGCAGTGCAGTGTACACAAGAGTAAACTAGTCGCGCTAAACTGATGCATGACTAGAATACTGGTCACCCGCGCCTCGCACATACAACCTGATATGTTTACAATGTTACAACTACTGTTGGTTTTAAAAATCCCCAACTGACTGACCAAAAGGAGTGGAACATACTGAATACCAACAGAAAACTATCAATATCCAATGTGAATGATGACAGGTGAGTAGGTACTCAATAAATGGCTCAAAATAGTATCTGTAGTCCTGGGTGCCGTTGTACAAAGCGATCTTAGCCCTAAGGTAATCGTAACTCCCATACCTTAACATAGAATTACGACAGTTAAACGTTGTAGCGCTAAGGTTGTATATAACAACCTTAGCGCTACGACTGTGTCATTGTATATAACACCCTGGGTGCCGTTGTATATATAGAGGATTCATCACGAGTGTTTTTTAATATGGGAAATATTGCTTGATATTTCCCATATTAAAAAAAACACCAGTGATGAATTCTATTTATCATTTTCACATTTTTGCTTCCCAATTAAGGAATAATTGCATTAAACATTAACATCAGCAACTTGTCGAAATCTTACGTATAGATTGTGCGTAGTGATACATGTTTTCCATAGCCGTGTAAACCAAAATAAACAACCTCTTAACTCCTTTATGGAATATTCCTTCGCTGAGAAAAAAAGTTCCTCGGATTATTTTAAACAAAATACTTGAACAGACTAATTGCAGAATAATTGAAATAATGTCTCCAACATCAAAGGTATCCATGTTGTTTGTAAACACCTACTCACGTGCACCGACGAAAAAAGTCCCACTTCCGGTTATCTAATTTGCATATCTAATTTGCATACTTATGTCATTGGGGTATGACATACATGTTTTTATGTCATAAGCTTATGTCATGGATAAATGCTTTAGTTAAATGATAAAACAACCTTAGCGCTGCGACTGTATCGTTGTACATAACACCCTGGGTGCCGTTATATGTAACAACCTTAGCGCTGCGACTGCCGCAAGTTAAGGTATGGCTGTTGCGATCACCTTAGCGCTGAAATCACTTTGTACAACGGCACTCTGCTGGACTATACCTTATATCCTATATACTCCGCCATAAACACTAAACTGCTGGATGTGCACTTTACGCCCCACCAATAAACTGTTCATATAACCTACATGGCCCTGAAAGGGCTTTCCACGGGACTTGAACCTACATATGTTATATATCTTCGTTACGTGTCCGTGTGTCATATAGGTAATAATATTATATTATAGCTAAATATCCCAGTTAAAAATACCATCAATTGTTAACGTTATATGGGCGCACGTAAGTCTATTTTTCCGAAACTCCAGGGGTCCGTTCCACAAAGCGATCTTAGCGCTAAGATGATCGTAACTCCCATACTTAAACACAGGCTTACGACAACCCTAGCTCTAAGATTGCTTTGTGGAACAGGGGTCAGAACTTGCCTTCGTGTAATGGAAAGAAACTCCATCTCAGCGCGGAGTGAGTGAGTGAGTGTATATGGTTTTATGCCGCTTTTAGCAATATTCCAGAGATATCACGGCGGGGGACACCAGAAATGGGCTTCACACATTATTCCCAAGTCGGGAATCGAACCCGGGTCTTCGGCGTGATGAGCGAACGCTTTAACCACTAGGCTACCCGACCGCCCCTCTCAGTGCGGAGGATTTCAATAGCTTTGTTTTGCGCCACTTTCGTTATATTTCGCTTTGGCTAGACTGCCTT